GGACTAGCGGCTGAGGCTTCCATGTCCTTGGGAAAGGCTGAGGTGTGTAGGTAAAGTGTCTGCCACCACAGGATGCAATCTCTCTTGCCAAAAGGCATGGCTTTGCAAAGGTCGACTGGGAGTGGCTGGCAGTACATCCCATCCATCACTGGGGAGCCCCACGTGCCTGGCCACTGCTGTCAGCAGCAATCTCCCATGGACCTCTCATTCATCCAGGCTGTCAGCCCCAGCCAGAGCAAAGCTCATAGGGGCTGGGTAGTGCTGAGTGTTGACAGATGGGAGTTATTTTAACAAAAGATCACATCAAATTTAGTTTAAAAGAAAATCTCTTCCAGGCCACAAAGGGTTATGGGAGCACCGATATGCTAATACAGGCCCAGGTGATTTGGCATGAAAGGATCTTGTTCAGAAAAGATGAGAAACTAGAGTCATGGCCTTTTACAACCTTGATCCATATCGATAGCTTGCTTCTCTGAAATGTTATGATACTACAATGTTACATTTAATGCCAGAATGTATAAATGTATAAAAATAATAAAACAAATTGTGTTTTAGTGTGTGTGTGTGTGTGTGAGTGTGTGTGTGTGTGTGTGTGTGCCAGTCCTGGATTTTGAACTGAGGGCCTGGGCGCTATCCCTGAGCTTTTGTGCTCAAGGCTGACTAACACTCTACCACTTGAGCCACAGCTCTACTTCTGGCTTTTTGGTGTTTAATTGGAGATATTAGTCTCACAGACTTTCCTGCCAGGGCTGGTTTTGAACTGCAGTCCTCAGATCTCAGCTTCCTGAGTAGCTAGGATTATAGGCATGAGCCACTGGAGCCTGGGTAGAATACAATTTTTAAAGGTGTTTTGTGGACTTTGGCAGTCAAGGAAAGGGTGATACATCTAGATCATAGCTTCATCTTAGTAAATTGGATCCTGGAACAGTGGAATTCTTTATTATGTTTCTTAGATTGGGTATGGGATTAATAAAGTCCATTTGTTTGTACTATTCACCCAGAAAAAATGTTGCTGAAAAATTGCCATGGTTTCCACTCTCAGTGAAGTTATTGCACAGTTGAACCTGAATTGTGAGGGGGGAGAGGAGGGAAAGCTTCCTCAGGAACTACCCACCCAGGTAAAAATCACCCCCATTTAATCTGGCCAAGTCAGGTCCAGCTTAGAACCCCATAATTCATTTCCTCCCTTGGAGAAGCCTGCTTTTCTTAAGTACTTTTGGGACCTCCTAAAGGAGGTCAGTTTGCATGTTTGAGCTGCCAGTCTTCTTTCCGTGGCCTTTTTAGTTGCTTGGTAGTTTAGAAATTTCAAAGCCAGTATAGTATTCCCCAGCCCCAAGCTTAATCAAAGCCAGACTGACAGTCTTGTGAGGTGTCACAATGTCACTCCTGAGTGCTACAAATCACGAATAATAATCTATTATGTGTGCGCGCGTGTGTGAGGTCTTTGCCAATTCTTAGGTATAGGTTGAATTTCCAGGTTTCTAAATGAAGAGATTGTTTTTAAGGGGGATGCACTATCAGTTGGAAACCTGTGAGACTTCTGTTTTATGTGGAATCTTAGTCTATAAGGAGTAATGTTCATGTTCATTTCTCTGGTGATTTCGGTGACTGATTGCTTTGCAAAGGGAAAGTGGGGGAAGGTATCCTCACCCTTATTTGAGAGAAGAAATTAAAGGTTAATGAACAGAAGATTAAATGAATCACCCAAGGTTATCTAGCTAGTGGCAATAAAATCCTTCAGCTCTGATTTCTGGAATCATCCAAGCTGCTAGACAATAAATAGAAATGTTTTCTGGGTGCTGGTGGCTCACCTCTGTACTCCTAGCTACGCAGGATACTGAGATCTGAGGATCGTGGTTCAAAACCAGCCTGAACAGGAAACTCTATGAGAGTCCTTTTTTTTGGGGGGGGGTCCAGTCGTGGGGCCTGAACTCTGGGCCTGGGCGCTGTCCCTCAGCTCTTCAGCAAACATTCCTATTTATTTATTTTTGCTGGGCCTAGGCGCTGTCCCTGAGCTTCTTTTTGCTCAAGGTAAGTGCTCTACCACTTGAGCCACAGTGCCACTTCCGGCTTTTTTCTTATGTGGTGCTGAGAAATCGAACCCAGGGCCTCGAGCATGCAAAGCAAGTGCTCTACCACTGAGTCACCTTCCCAGCCCTCTATGAGACTCTTATCTCCAATAAACTACTCAAAAACCTGGAAGTGGCACTGTGGCTCAAGTGGAAGAGCACTTACCTTGAGCAAAAAGAAGCTCAGGGACAGCGCCTAGGCCCAGCAAAAATAAATAAATAGGAATGTTTGCATTAAAAAAAATTTTAGGCTATTAAGTGGTATGCACTTAATAGCCTAAAGTATGCACTTTGGAGGGGATTTCCAGAACTTGTCCTTTTTTTCTTCTCCACTCAATTTTTTATTAGCACATATTAATTATGCAGAATAATGGATTGCATTATGGCCTTTTCATATACATATATGATGAAATTTTAAAATGCCCACCAAAACACAAGATTTTCAAGAAGGAAATTCACAGTTTCCTACTAACATGTTCAAAATGTCAATTCTAGGCTCAGATGGATAATATGTATAATTTATGCTTTTAAAAAGTCTGTAATCTTAAGTAAACTCCATTGAGGGTTTAATTACATGTTTATTTTGGCTTTACCTACGAGGATTTAATGTTTTTTTAATAATATATTTATTAGAGAGTCAAGAAGAAATGAATGTAATATATATGAAAAGAAAAAGGCATATAAATAAGATGGCCTGGTATGAAGGAATTCTTTAGCTATTATTGATGGAGCTCTAGTTCGGGAGGGAGCAGAGGAGAACTAAGTTGACGGGGAACCAGGAGGGAATGCAAAGAAAGACCTCTGTTTTTGATTAGCCCTGAAATGGGTTATAACTGAGTTGAGTCTCTCCCCAGCTGTCCTGTCTGGTGCTGACATATGCATAGAGTGTGTAACACTGTGTTGGGCTTTCTCTTCAGGGGCTGTGTGGACACGTGTGTATTACTTAAAAAAAAACAAACACAAAACTAAGACCTTGGAGTCCTTAATCTTGGATTGCTAAACACGTGCTAAGAAATCTTGAGTTTCCCAGAAGTACCAGGGAGAATCTTGTATGTTTCACTATTGGAATAGAGTTGGAATTCTTTCAGGCAGCCTGAATGCTTTGCTCTTCTATCTGGAACGGGTGAATAGATGAAGTATAGATTTGGCACTATTACAGTCCACATGAAGTTCAAGTTTATATAGTTTTCTCTGAAGATATTAGAAAATGCTTCCTTTAAGATGTGAAATGTCATGTGCATGTTTCCATTTTTATTTATCTAAGAAAAGGTTTAGCTTAGCCTTTCAGGGAAATCCCCTCAAAGTATCAAAATTAGTTTTCAAGTGTTGTGTGTGTGTGTGTGTGTGTGTGTGTGTGTTTGTGTGTGTGTACACGCACATGCAATTCCTGGGGATTGAATTTAGGACCTAAGCACTGTCCTTGAGGTTTTTTGCTCAAGGCTAGTGTTCTACCACTTGAGCCACAGCTCTATTTCTGGCTTTTTGGTGGTTAATTGGAGGTAAAAGTCCAACAAACTTTCCTGCTTGGGCTCACTTTGAACTGTGATTCCCTGATTTCAGCCTCGAGGATTACAGGCATGAGTCACTAACACCCACCTCTCAAATACCTTTTCAATAGGCAAATACAACTTACATGTATTTATTCTACACAATGCAGTGCTTTGAAGGAATTAAATCGAGCTAATTAATATATCACCCAACACATTTGCCTTTAGTTTTTCCTATGATGAGAGTATTTAAAAATCTGTTCCCGGAACTGGAGTTCAATTCACTAATGGAGCTCTCTCTAAAATTCATGAGATGCTTCCTTTGATCCTTAACACCACCCCAAAAGTGATGTTTCTGAGTAATTTCTATCTGCATCTGACTAATAGCTGTTGTCACCCATGCTATATAATAGCTCTTCCTGAAGTTATTCCTTCTAATTGAAACACTTTTTTTTCCCCCAGAAGTGGTGTTTTTTTATTTTTATTTTTATTTTGTCGCTCATGGGGCTTGAATTCTGGGCCTGAGCACTGTCCCTCAGCTCTTCAGCTCAAGGCGAGCGCTCTACCACTTGAACCACAGTGCCGCTTCCGGTTTCCTGGTGGTTTACTGGACATAAGAGTTTCAAGGCTTTTCCTGCCCAGGCTGGCTTTGAACCAAAATCCTCAGATCTCAGCCTCCTGAGTAGCTAGGATTACAGACGTGAGCCACCATCGCCAGGCTTTAGAATTGGTGTTTTTATTATCTTTAAGTAGTTGTACAGAGGAGTTGCCATTTAACAAAGCAGTTTGTAAATGCAATGTATCTTGATCAATGTCACCCCAACTTTCTCACTCATTGCTCCACTACCCACCTCTTCCTCCACTTTTATTTTGTAGGACATATATTTGATTCTTGACTGTACTCTCCCTCTTCTCCTCTTCATTTGTCTACCCCTCTCCTTTCAAGTACCTGCTTCCTGGTATTAGGTTTTTCTTTTTCCTTTTTTTTTTTTGTCAGTTATGGAGCTTGAACTTACAGCCTGGGAACTGTCTCTGAGCAGTTTTGTTCAAGGCTAGCACTACCACTTTGAACCACAGTGCCACTCCGCATTCCAGTTTTCTGGTGGTGAATTGGAGATTAGAGTCTCACAGATTTTCCTTCCCAGGCTGGCTTTGAACCACAATCCTCAGATCTCAGCATCCTGAGTAGCTAGGATTACAGGCGTGAGCCACTGGAACCCACTTGTGTCCTGGTGTTTTGTTTCACTATACTTTGATCTTGCCTTTCTCAGGAATTACACTGTGTAATATGGTAAATTATGTATATGGGATTCAATAAAGCTGAATCCACAACAGAGGTATATATCCTAGTTTTTTGGTTTTTTTTTTAATTTACAGATTTATGACTGTTTTAGTTAGCTGACAATTTTTACAGACAACTAATCATTTGTATCCTCCTTTTCAGACAATAGAAAGATCAAAGTGAATGGAACCAAAGAACCCATAGAGTTTAAGTCCAATCAATGGTTTGGAGCAACGGTGAAAGCTCACAAAGGAAAAGTCGTGGTAAGTCTGAGACCCATGGCTGTGGGACTGCTGGGAGGTTATTGGGTACACTGACATGTTCTAATGCTCATGCCTAGAAAACTCCCTTTAGATAGGAAAGTATTAGACTTGTTGACATTTTGAAGGAATCAGGTGCTTAAAATTGAAACATTTTACATAGTGAAAGCTGTAGGAAATAAAATTGTTGATCAGGAAAAAAATCAGTTTGATATTTTCAAATATTTCAGAAGTGACTAAGAAAGATGGGAAAATAAAAATTACATAGTAAGGAGATGCAGAGTTCATTGCGTAAAAATGATTTAAAGAGTTGCTTAAAATTTAAGCAGAAAAATGGTATTAGTATTACAGGAATGCTTAAATCTACAGTGGTATCACATCTTGCTTAGAATAAATGGGAAAGTTTCTTTAATAATAATGATTTTTTTAAACTACTAACTGCTTGATTCTTTGAGTTTGTTAATGCTTGTAAAATTATGTTTTAACATTTATCCAGCATGCATGTGCTGAATTTAATTCGACACACATTTATTAAGCAAATTTTACAGGCATAGCTCTATGTGAAGTGTTCTTGCCAGCTCAATCAATTCCAAAAGAAGCTCCAATGTATGAGATTCACCCCTATCTACTTTACCATTCTGTATTAAACACAGAACCTTTCTACCACTGCAGGTTTTTGTTTGTTTTATTGACCTTTTAGAATTGAGGATGTAGTTGTAAAATGACCCAGGTAACTTACTTTCCTTAAAAAAGCTGCCTGAGCTACTTAGAGTCTTCAGAAGGATTTCTTTTTTTTTAAATTTAATTTTATTTTATTTGTGAACATACTGTACAGAGGGGTTACAATTGCATGGGCAGGATAATCCGTATATTTCTTACCAAGCATTGCAGCCTCCTCCTTTGTTTACCCTTCACATCCCTTCCCAGCCTCCCCCCTCCCCCCCAATCCCAATCCTTCTCCTTCCCCCCCTCCCTTAGCACAAAGACATATCATATCCACCATCAAAGACTTGAACACATTGGTAGTCATTAACATGTGCCTTTGAAATGGCCTGCCTCAGCCCTTCTAAAATGGCTGTAAGAGGCTCCTTTACCTTCAGTTTTGCCAACAACAAAAATCATGAAAAAGTCATTTCCATTACTGAAAATGAAGCCATCCCTTAATTACCAGGCCAACAATGAAAACTCCTTAAGAAGCAACTTCAGTGGTAAAGTAGAGGAACCTACATCCTCCGATTTGGAAGTCTTGCTTTTGAAAGCAACACCTAGAGAAAGGACTAGCTCTCATTTTCAGACCTCACCTTACTTCATTTGCTATTTGAAAAATCATTTGCTTTTATGTAAGTCCAATTTAGGGAGTAAAATAAAGGAATGAAAATGAAATATAAGTCCCTTGATTTTAGGAAGTTATTTTCTTTTTACTTACAATTCTAGAGGGAAGAACTCTATCCTTTGTATATGTTTAATTTTTGTTAATTCCACTGTGTATTAAAGTTAAACATTGCTTTTGGAAGTTTGATGGGCTTTGACTACAGAGGTACTGGGGCCAATACATTTTCCTAACAACTGAACCTAATTTGTCATAAATTTAGGTGCATTAACAATCGCTTGAATCAAGCTACTGTACTAGAACACTATGCCAAATACCTGTTTACTGCCTTTTATGTCTCATAGGCCTGTGCTCCTTTGTATCACTGGAGAACTCTGAAACCAACACCAGAAAGGGACCCAGTTGGCACTTGCTATGTAGCAATTCAGAATTTCAGCGCATATGCAGAATACTCTCCTTGTAGAAACAGTAAGTTACTTTTCTTCCCTGAAACAGAAATTTAGCTCCAGAGCTTTCCAATAACAGCAAGCTATAGTTTGTCAAAAGAGGGGTCCATCCTTCACTCCTTTCTCTTCACATCATCCAAAGAGCAGACTTCCCAGACTTCCTGTCCTGACTAAGAAATCACAGTTCATTAACACAAAGCCAGCTTGTTCGTGAGCATATGGTTGATTTCACAGAACAAGGACATCAGTGAGATTATTTTCAAAAGAGAATTTAAGGCCTTCCCGCTTATGTTAATGCTACAGCCTAAACCCACTCCACAGATACTGTGAGCAATATGGGAGCCAACTTGCTCATTTATATTAATGGTATGCCTTTGGCTTTGAAACTCATTCATAATTCAGGTGAGGAGGATATTTCACACACTCTTCAGTTCTACTTTGAAAGTCAACAAATGGTAGTGAATGAACAGTGTACAACTCTGGGTTCCCAATTTTACTCTGAGACATAATTATAAAGTATAGAAACATTCTGAAACATCAGGAAGAAAGATTCCTTCAGTTCTCATAAGTTAGAATTCAACACATCAAAAAAAAAAGGAATGGTTTTGCGGGAGAAATAACTTAGCACCTACTAAAATTGCTCATCCAAATAAACATTTCAAGTTTTTTTTTTTTTGTCAGTCGTGGGGCTTGAACTCTGGGCCTGGGCGCTGTCCCTTCTCTCTTCAGCTCAAGGAGACCGCTCTACCGCTTGAGCCACAGCTCCACTTCTGGTTTTCTAGTGGTTAATTGGAGATAAGAGTCTCACAGACTTTTCTGCCCGGGCTGGCTTTGAACTGCGATCCACAGTTCTCAGCCTCCTCAGTAGCTAGGATTACAGGCATGAGCCACCGGTACCTGGCCAAGTTGTTTTTTTTTCTAACGATTTTTATGGAGTATTTTCCCTTAATTTTTTCAGTTTCCTGCTTTAAAGGGAAACAACTTCAAAGAATGGTCATATCTCTTTCCTCTGACTAATGCACAATATTAAGAGTAAAGAAGAATTGATTTTTGGAGGGATTTTAAGAAGGATTATACATTTATTAAATATACTCAGTGTAATACACTTGTGTTTATAGAGCAGTATATTACCTATTCACATATATTTTTGGATGTGTAAAGCTGTTTTCATCCCTGAACTTATAAAAAACTTTGAAGTTGTACACTTCAGCTTTTTAGGCAAACCTTACAAAATTCATAACCAGAAAGCATAATGTGTGGTTGTAAAAGAAGGATTGAACTTTGTTAACATGGACTGAATGGGATAGAAAGGTAATTTTACAAAATGAAGGGAGCATCTGGAAAGAATTGATGATGGCAGAGCTAAATAAAATCAACTAAGTTCTGAGGAAAAGAGAGGAGAGGGGAGGGGAGGAGACAGAGAGAAGAAGATATGTTCTAGGAAAACTGGAAAGCACAGATCCATTTAAAAACATCTGCAACAGGCCCAGCCTAGCCTATAAATGTTTCCTGTGAGGATATCGATTTCCTGTCCCACCCTCTCCCTTCAGTTTCCGTCCAGTCACAGCCTTGATAAGAGAAAAATTATTATCATTTTTCTGTCTAAGAATATCACTTAACTACTTAACCAGATTTGGGCTATCCTTTAAACACTTCAGAAATGATAGAAACTCTTTCATCATATGTTATAAATAGTAAATTTGTAATCATGTCATTTATTTATTTGACTATCTTTAGTTGTACAAAGGGGTTTCAATTCAAGATGTCAATTTACGTGTACAATGCATCTTGATCAGTGTCACCCCTTCCACCATTCAAATTTGTAGTCTTAATTCCCTAAGAATATTGATAACAGTACCCTTGGAATCCTGATGTTTGCCTGTGTATAGTTCATAGCAGTACATGGTTAGATATTATTGGATAGTCAGTTAATGAATTACATTGGATAGGGTAAAAATATATAAGCCACGACAGATAGTTTTATCTGTTGTGAACATTAGCATTGCAAAGTCCCTGGGAGAGTCCTTATAATCAGAAATGTAATTTTCCACTTTGCATAATATATCTTAATAGCATAATTTAAAATGAAGTTCTTGTTAGAAAGAATAAAAATAGAAATGTTTGTCTTGCCTCCATTGGAAACCTTGCCTACAGATAGTCTGTCTCAAGCTACCATCTGCTAGAAATCATAGAATTGGTGGCCAAGAAGAGAGGCAACTGTCAAAGGGACAGTTTGTGTGTGTGTGTGTGTGTGTGTGTCACACGTGTACTTGCGTGCCAGTTCTGGGGCTTGGACTCAGTACCTGGACACTGTTCTTGAGCTCTTTTGCTCAAGGCTAGCACTGTACGCTTTGAGCCACAGCTCCACTTCTGGTTTCCTTTGAACCACGATCCTCAAATCTCAGCCTCCTGAGTAGCAAGGATTGCAGGTATGATGGCACCTAGCCCCAGTGGAGAATTTGGAATCCAGTCAGAAGATGGAGATTTTAGCTCTTTGAATGAATGTATTGTACAACCCAATATAAATTTTTGCTCTTTGATGTTTTCCCTAAACATATACTAGTTTGTGCTCAACATATTAAAAGACAAACCAGTACAATAAGCTTTAAAAAATATATGGGCACTAGTGGCTCTTTCCTATAATCCTCATTACTCAGGAGGCTGAGATCTGAATATCACGGTTCAAAGCCAGACCAGCCAGGAAACCCCAAGAAACTCTTACCTCTGATTAACCACCAAAAATCAGGATGTAGAGCTGGGGTTCAATTGGCAGAATGCTAGCCTTGAGCAAAAAACCTCAGGAACAGCAATGCCCAAACCCTGAGTTCAAGCCACAGGAACAACACCCCTCTCTCCCTTAAACACACAACCTTAAAAAAAATTATTTCTGTTGATATTACTGTAGAGTGACATTGCTACTTGAACTAAAAATAGACACAGAAGTATATTTTTTAATTCCCTGGAATTAAGTTTTTAAATAAATACCAAGTACGTCTTAATCATTTTAAATTTAGGAATCATATAGAGAAAACAACAGAATATTCTGAACTGGCTATTAAAATACACTTTCAAAAGTATGACATTGTTACATCTGAATGTTTTGATTCCAGGCAATGTGGATCCTGAAGGCCAAGGCTACTGCCAAGCAGGATTTAGTCTGGATTTTTATAAGGTGACTTCTAATATTTAATGTGACTTTTTGTTGTTGCTGCTGTTATTTGCATACCATCTTCATTCCTCGAGCCCTTCAACAATAGCAACCATCAGAGACTTTATGTACATACATATCTAGTCACATCCATCAACTTCTTTATGTTTTCTGTTTGATTTTTTCCTATTTATATTACATAATACACATGCAACTCCATACTAAATATATATGATTGAAATCTATAGTCTTCCCACCTCATGGAGAAATATTTTGTAAACAAAATACTCATGGAAATCAGTTTCTGAAAAGATCACAAGAAACTATCCATTGTTTTATCTCTTACCTGTAATCAAATGGTTTCATTTAATACTCCTGATATTAAAATTCACTACTTTTTGACAAAATTAAAAACAGACACCTAGTGCAAATATAAAGGATGGTGACTGTATGGTTTTGGAAATAGTGTGAACAAATTTCAAAGTCTGTTCTGTTCTACTGTCTAGTTGCCATATTTCTATCATTGCTTTTTTATTTTAATTTTTGTCCTGCAAGTTACAGATTTAAGGAGTACAGAAAGAAGGCTATAAGTAGGTTTAAAAAAATGTTTAAATGTCCTAGTGTGCTTTCTCTCCTGCAAAGATGTGTGTAGGAAACATAATAGGCACAATTATGGCCTTGAAAATAAATTAGAACAAAATTTCCTTTTTTTAAAATCACAAACCTTTTTCAAAAGGCCATGCCTGCTAAATTGTACATCATTAAACATGTAGACATTTTGATTACCAGCGTCATTGCCAAAAAGCTGAACTTATCTATTCTCAAGGGGTGAGAGTTCAACTTGCCTACCAAAGTAAAATCATACAACGTGATAACACACTAGATAATTGAAAACAAAAAAAAAGGAAAGAACATGACCCGATGTGAGTTGTCTGATATTAGGACCTCTTTGAAAATAAAAATGCTTTTGAGCAATATGGCATAACAAATTGTTAGAGCAATGCTTACTAGCAATAACTTATCACAGTTTAAAGTTTATTTTTCACTTGTTGTTTTTGCTGCCATTTCTGTTTTGCAGAATGGAGACCTTGTAGTAGGAGGGCCTGGAAGCTTTTACTGGCAAGGTACGTTCTGTTAGCAGAGACGAAAAGCATGTCTGAGCCAGGTGCCAGTAGCTCACACCTGTAATCCTAGCTACGCAGGAGGCTGAGATCTGTGGGTTGTGGTTGAAAGCCCATCTGGGCAGGAAAATCCATGGGATTCTTTTTATTTTGGGGGATGGGGGGAATCCGGTTGTGAGGCCTGAATTCTGGACCTGAGCGCTGTCCCTCAGCTCTTCAGCTCAAGGCTAGCACTCTACCACTTGAGCCACAGCACCACTTCTGGCTTTTTTCTTTTTGCTGAGGAATCGAACCCAGGGCCTTGAGCATGCAAGGCAAGCGCTCTACCACTGAGCCACCTTCCCAGCCCCCATGGGATTCTTATCTACAATTAACCACTAAAAAAAAGCCAAATGTAGAGTTGTGGCTCAAGTGGTAGAGCACTAGCCTTGAGCATAAAAACTCAGAGACCCACCTAGGCCCTGAGTTCAAGATCACTCTGAACAAAAGATCACTCTGAACAAAAGATCACTCTGAACAAAAGGTTTTGTCTTTGTTGATGTTTTTCTTTTCTTTCCTTTGTGTCTTATTTGTTCATTTATCTGGCTGTGGGAGGTAAGTGGGGCACAAAAATGGAGGGACAAAAGGTGAACAAATGGTGGTATTCAACAGACACTACGTGAGAAATGAGCTATACAATTTGTAGATGGGCATGGGAGGGAAAGACTGGGAGAGAATGAAAGAAGGGGTGACATTGTTCAAACAGAAATGTACTCTTTACCTAACTATTGTAACCGTAGCCCTTCTGTACATCACCTTTATAATAACAATTTTATAAAAGATTGCTCTGGCTAAAACATGGAAAGTCAACAAAAGTGAATCATCAGAAAACTAGTTATAAGGTTGTTTTGAGATTGTCAACTACTTTTCTGCTTCTAAGGTCAATTAGCTAGATGTTTTGGGTAAAGACATTACCTTCTCAGAGTAGTGATCGAAAAGCAGGCAAAAAAGTGTGAGAGACTGTGGAGGCAGAATAAATAGCCTCGGTGTGGCTGGATAAACATTGGGGGTGGAGGGAGTATGTCAAGCTTATGTCTCCAATTGTGCAACAGAGTGCCACTCAATAGACAGCAGGAAGAAAATATGTTCAGAGTGGATTGGAGAGAAAAGTTGGTGAGTCTGATCTTGATTGCATTGAGTATGGAAGTGTTGGGCTATCTAAGTGTTTCCACAGAAACACTTTAGCTATATACATTTTTAACCTCCAGTTGGGAGCCAGTAGCTCATGCCTGTAATCCTAGCTACTCAGGAGGCTGAGATCTGAGAATCTCAGTTCAAAGCCAGCCTGGGCAGGAAAGTCTGTGAGACTCTTAACTCCAATTAACCACCAGAAAACCGGAAGTGGCTACTCCTATCTTCAACTAATCTTGAGTTCAAGCCTCATACCAGCACCAAAAAAAAAAAAAGGAAAAGAAGAAAACAACGTCTGATTCAAATGATTTGCTGAGAATTAGCCATGTCAAGGCATCTGCAAACATTTGACTGCTAAATATAATTTAAAACTTCATACAGGCTGAGGATTGTGCTGTGTTCAGACTCAGCTAAAAGGAACAAGCAAAGACATTGTGTATGTGAGAGCTAAATCCAGAGAAAATTGGCAAATCTTACCAACATTTTCCACAAATGTGTAAATACCATTGTCTTAATATCAGAACAGCCATTTCAATGCCAGTCATGGGGAACTATTTATGGTCTGGTTTAATGGGTTTATTATTATTGTTTTTGGATTTCAAACACAAAGACTGTGGGAACTATGTGTGTGAATTCCCAAAGAAAAATTTGGTTATAAAATTGGTGTTACATATTAGCTTTGAAAGTATTTCTCCAGTTCTTTCCAAAACAACATGAGATCACATTTTCACCTTAAATGTCCACAATAATTATGAGAATGCATAGAAACTGTACGGAGAGAACTACTATCTTTTAAGATATTTGTCTAGCCTAATGTAATCACACCTCAAGACTTGGAGAGTGACTTTATTTGGTAAAGATTAGCCATAGGTCTTATACCACTGCGGGAAGCCATGGATTCCTTTTTTTTGTTATTGTTAATATTCTGAATATTCAATCTAGCTTCTACCTATAATCATAATTGTATAATTTCTCTATGTAATTTAGGATAAAAAGCAAATGGCCCAGAGATTGTAAGTTAAATAATCTTGTTTAGTCTTTACTGAGTAAAGTGATTTAGATGTATTTTGAGAATTCAAAATATTTTATCAGAAGACCAAAGAAGACACTCTTGGTAATGCCGACATCTTATTAGTAAAATATTGTGACCCACTTAAAGAATTCATGAAAATATAAAACAATATTTATCAAAATGAACTCTAGGAAACGGAAACAAGAGGCTTTTTTCTTTGCTGTTGCACTCTTTACCTGAATTATGTAACTGTAACTCTTCTGTATGTCATTTTTATAACAACAACTTTAAAAATGACAACATAAAAGCTACTTGAAAATTAAAAAAAAATCATATAAAGTTTTTAGTTCTAGTTTTTCTCATTGATAAGGACTCATAATTGAGTAGATAATCTCAGTTTCCTCCTAATTAAATGTTCTAGAAAAAATCACATAAATTTTACCTACAAATTATCTTTACTGTAATTATTTACCTACAAATAATCTCTACTCTGATCAGATTTCCACTCTGATTATGATTTTGAATTACTTCTGCTCTGATCATTGAAGGTGTAGGATCTATGCCTGCTGAAAGCAGCAGAAACACATATAAAATACTGTATCACTAGCCAGTCACTGGTGACTCACGCCTGTAATCCTAGCTACTCAGGAGGCTGAGATCTGAGGATCGCAGTTCAAAGCTAGCCTGGGCAGAAAAGTCCCTGAGACTCTTCAATTAACTACCAGAAACCCGGAAGTGGCGCTGTGGCTCAAGTGGTAGAGTGCTTGCCTTGGGATGAAATGCTGAGGGACAACTGCCAGGCCCAGAGTGAAGCCCAGTGACTCCCCTTTCCCCCCCCCCCCAAAGCCACCATCACCACCACCAACAACAACAGCAAACCAATTCTGGTCTCCTGTCTGAATGGGAAGTTCTACTCAGCCTTAACCAACTTGTCTTGCAGTTCTACTGATGAGCAGTACTTTAGTACTTTAAGCAAATCCATGTAGCTTCCAGAGCAGCGTGTGGGGTTCTATATTTGCTGGAGGAGGGCCAACCTCTTGCATTTATTCAGTTAATGTATTTTGTTTGTTTCCACACAGGTCAGGTAATCACTGCCAGTGTTGCAGATATCATTGCAAACTATTCATTCAAAGATATTTTAAGAAAACTTGCTGGAGAAAAGCAGACAGAAGTGGCTCCTGCTTCCTATGATGATACTTACCTTGGTGAGACCATTGTTCAAGATATTTGTGGTTTCTCAAAAGACAGGTTAAATGCGCCTGCAAATGCTATTCCTCATTTAACTTATACTATTTAGCACCTTAAATTTTCTTTTCTAGTGACTGTTGGGGTTTTGTTTTCTTTGTAATACAAGTGGTTTTCAATCATGATGTGTAGCTTACAAACATAGAGCAGCTCTTTTCTGTTGGCTTGTTTTTGAACTGTTCTTTGTAGGCTCAGTAACTTGCACTTACACATAAACTACTATACTGGCAGCCCGGCGCCGGTGGCTCACGCCTGTAATCCTAGCTACTCAGGAGGCTGAGATCTGAGGATCACAGTACAATGCCAGCCCAGACAGGAAAGTCCATGAAACTCTTATCTCCAATAAACCACCAGAAAACCGGAAATGGCGCTGTAACTCAAGTGGTAGAGTGTTTGCCTTGAGCTGAAGAGCTGAAGGACAGCACCCAGGCCCAGAGTTCAAAAATAAAAATAAAAATACTATACTGGCAGTAGACACTTGGTATTAATTAGCAGGACTATTATCAATATTATGTGGAGAGCAACATGATTATAATCCTGACTTCTTACTAGAACATCAGCAAGAGACATTCCAAATGGAGAAGGAAGGAAGGGGTGACACTCTCCAAGAAGCATTGAACTCATAACCTGATTAATGAAACTATAACTCCTTTATCCAACTACTTAACAACAACAATAATAAGCTAAGAAGCATCATTTGCCATTTACAGCTAATGGTGTTCATGTTCTGAAAATTGACCTCAGAATCTGATTTTTTCCCCAGTACCCACTTAGGATCAGTATTAAGGTCTATTGGGCTTTAGTATTTAGCACTAAAGTGTGCATATCAGTGTGGTAAATTTTACTTTACAGTCTCTAATTTTTATAATATGTGTAGAGATTTCTTAATAAACCTATACCATTGCAGTTTTTTCTCTAGGAAAAACTCATTTATTAAGTCATGATTTGTCTATTTTTTTTTCTTAACCGTACAATAGGATACTCAGTTGCTGCTGGGGAATTTACTGGGGACTCTCAACAAGGTAAAAGAAATTGAACTTATGTCATTTAAACATGCATAGAGATATGAAAATGAAACAAAGAAACCTATTGGGGATGTTTTTCAGGGAAGGGAATGGGAGGCAGGGAGTGTGATGAAGGGATCAGATTGTTTGAAATACAGCATAAATATATGTGGAGATGGATTAATAAAATCCCCACCCATAGAATGCAAAAATAATTTTTAAATAGCATAAGGAAAAGTAGAATGTCATAAAATCGCCCTTCTCATTCTAGAAAATGTATAGAAATAGAATGGAAATATAGTATTCTTAAAAATAATATATATTTTGGTGCATTTTAAACCTCATTGACTATGAAGAATCAATAATTATCTAGTTAAGTAAAACATTAGAGCAGTAGTCCTGTGTTATGAATGAAAAGTATATAGACTTAGACAATAGTTGTTTTCCTAGAAACAGATCTGATTTGAACATTTGAAATCCCTCTTTGTGTGTGTGTATGTGTGTGTGTGTGCATGAGTGCATGCACCAGTTTTGGGACTTGAACTTAGGGTGAATACTGTCCCTGAGCTTTTATTTGCTGAAGGCTAGCAAGACTCTACCACTTGAGCCACGTGTCAACTTCCTTCTTTGTGCTGGTTAATTGGAGATCAGAGTGTCATGGTCTTTCCAGCCCAGAATGGTTTTGAACCACAGTCCTCAGATCTCAGCATCTTGAGTAGCAAGAATTACAGGTGTGAGCCACCAGTACCCAGCATGAGCCCTCATTTTTTTTCTTAGTTTTCTTTTTTTTTTTTACTTTAATTTCAAAATCTCAAATTATAAGTCTCCAGAACTATTCTCCCTACCCAGTCAATCCAATATACCAGAAAACATTCCTTTTCAGCTTTGGACATGCTCAATCCCAAAATAATAAATGAATTTCTCATGTATGCTCCCCTCCTACTTTCTATTTTCAATCCTGAGGTTGAAAGTTCTGTTTTCAATCTTTAAATCCTGTATCGGGCCCCGTCTTCCAATGGCCAACGGCTCTAGCTTAATTTATAAGCCAATTTCAAATGCCATCATCTCCTAAAATAAATTTTCACGTCCTTCTATAAACTGTTATACCCCGTCACTTCTTACTTTCCAAAGGCACTTGCCATTCATCTACTTGTCAAACATTTTTGCACACCGACTATGAGCCAGGCTCTTTGTTAAGGGTGGAGCATGCACAAATGATGTTTAATCTCAAAATTTACAATCTGCTAGGTCTGATAGACATTAAATACTGAACACAAAATAATACTTCAAAACTCTGTAAAGTACTACGACAAAGGAATGTGAGGGTGACATTGAAATGAATCTTTGAAGGATGAGGGAAGGTCCAGACAAAGTACCCAGCTTTTATCTGGTAAGGTGTGTAAAAGAGTAGAATGGTCCAGGAAATCTATCTAATTTGATACTGATAAGAGGAGCAGGACCCAGATGCACTGGGTTTTACAGGCCATGGAAAGGAATTGAATTTAATGCAACATGCAAGACAGAAGCCATGAAATACTGAAGCAGAGGAGTAAATATAATACAATCGTGCTTGTGATCTAGAAAGCACAAAGAAAAAAGAGAAAGGAGTAGAAGAACAATGAGAGGAAGAGAAATCACACGGACAGATCACTGGCTGGATGAGGGTAGTAAAGAATGTGTTTTATGTGGCATTTTTATGCTCCGATCTGTCTCCTTAAGACACTTCCTATTTTTCTCCCTCACAGACTAGATTCTGTTTTGCTCCCAATGGATTCTTATGACATTCTAAACCATTGGAGTCAAGATCCACATAGATTCAACTTCTAACTTCACTGCTGCTATATTACTTAGGATATGAGACCCTCCATGATTTTCATTTGCTTTTATTTAACTATTATTCAGCATTAAAGAATAATCATACATAAAATACTAACAATTTAGTAGTAATTACCTTTTACTATTAATACTACCTAACTCAAAATATTATTCTGAAGATCACAGGAGAAAATGAACAAAAAAAAATATCTATCTTACCCAAGGTAGTAAGTGATAACTTCTATTTACCTAGTAATATTTATCAATACAACTCATCATCAATCAATAAATGGCATTTTCCATCTTGTTTCCTATGAACATTGACTACATTTTAGTAAGTGTTTTATCTATTTCATAAATAATAAAGTATAAATGTTACCTGGTCACCTCTAGGAGTCTTTCCAGATCTTTTTTTTTTTTTGGGTCCGGTCGTGGGGCCTGAACTCTGGGCCTGGGCGCTGTCCCTCAGCTCTTCAGCTCAAGGCTAGCACTCTACCACTTGAGCCACAGCACCACTTCCGGCTTTTTTCTTTTTGCTTATGTGGTGCTAAGGAATTGAACCCAGGGCCTCAGGCATGCAAGGCAAGCGCTCTACCACTGAGCCACCTTCCCAGCCCTCCAGATCTTTTAAGAGTTTTGTCTTGATAAGGTCTTCCAAGCAAAAATTTATAAACTTTTTGCAGTTTGGTAGAAGTTGAAAATGTGAGTTTTTAAAAGAATGTTTATTTTCTTTTAAATACAAGCTAACTCTTAAAGAGCATCCCTTTCTATTAATTTTTCTTCAAGCTATTGAAAGGCTAGATATTGGAGTCACTATAGGAAAGAATCTGGAGGCCAACTTCTGGCATTTACACCCTGAATTTCTTAGTTCTGAGACTTTCCCAGGTTATCTAGCATCTTGGAATTTCTATTTCTTCATTCCTAAAGCAGGAATGATGGCCACAGTACATCTATCTCATATTACTTTTTTCAGGAATAAATGAGCTGGTGTTATATAATCATAAGACTGTATTAGCAATGCATGCTATATAATAAGTCAGCATTAACTATAGGAAAGAATCCTATGATTGAGGGGCCATCAAACACAGAATTGAAAAAACCAGTAGTTTCACCCAAAAAAGTCTACTCTTCTAATCTCTTATGGAACAATTCAGCAAAGGAAATGATAAACTGTGCCCAATTATTTTCTTTCTAAACTGCACTGAGTATGGATCCACGGAGACTAGTAGTAATCTACAGTAGCACATGCTAGATTAAGATAATTAGAAACAACAGAAACTTAACAATAGCTATCAGAAACACTCAGACAACGCTTCCACCTTTTTATGTGACTTGGAGATACCTAAAATAAAAGCACCATCAAGGACATTACAATCAGTTCATTAGACCATGAGGAAATGAAGGCTTCCTATGTTCACAAGTAATTAGACAAGAAGGAGTAAGAACTCTATGAAAAAGAATTACTGCCTTTAACTTGTAGAGTTGTTACTTTAGAGTCTTTGCACCTCTGGACTTGGTCCACAAAAGGACTTTACTGGACTTGAACCTTTAATAATTACTCAATGTTTCTATGTATTGATACTATTCTGCTGCGAAGATCCCTAACTTTCTTCCAGATTAAGTGTGTTTGTTACTTTAAAAGGCTTATGTGCCTCTATTCTTAATTTGGAATTGCACATGGTGAGCTGGCTCTGACCAATCTCAAAATGGATGCAGAAGAAAGAAGATATAATGAGACTAACTAACTGCCTACTAACTATGAGCTCTACAGTGACTAAATCTAAGCCCAGTTTACCTGTGTATCACAATAAATATCAATGCCTCCTTTTAGAGGCTAAGGGAAATAGCTGCACATGGAACATAATTTAGTAAATAAAAGACCTTCAATAAATGCTAATCTTCTTTCTGCTTCTCATTAGTGGATTGGACAGCCAAGTAATGAATTTCCAAGTCAAGAACCCATTTGTTTTCCCTAAACATATTGTTGATATTAAGAAATTTCTGAATAACCATGAGTTGCTGGAACGGATCTAAGAAAAGCCTACTTTCTTTTCTGACTGAAAATTTCTATAGTTGAGTGACAGTTCTAATTTGACATAGACCCTGAGCAATTAAAGTATTCCCATCATTTATAAGTAATTATGAATATCTTTAACAGCTCCTCCCTGATGTGGTCATAAGAGACTGAAAACTCCAAGGTTACTGTGCGTGATAGCAGATTAGTTTTTAAATTCTGAATGTTTGTGGGACAGGAGACATAGTGTTCTCCATGCATCTTGTAGCATAATCCCCCCCAGATCATTCTGCTTGACAAGAATGACCCTAAAATCAACCAACTGAACTGTAATTTTGATTTATTTCCATTGTCAGGAAGATTTAATTCACATCTCCCAAAAGGTTATTGAAAACTCAGCAGTGTATGACCCATTCTGAAAACTTTTGTGGCTAGGGACTCAATCCAGATGGCTTTATTTAGCTGGACTTCATATTATTCTTCAAGAGCATGCTTTATCCTGCCTCTTGGTAGATAAATGATCCACATTCTGTCCTAGGCTGACCTTCCTCTTTGCACTTTTAAATCCCATTTCCTTTAGAACCATTAAACTCCAGCAATTCTTGCTTTTCGATTTTAGTTATCTATTTCTCCCTCCTTCTCCTCCATTATTTCCACTATCACACTGTTTTTTCTTTCTTTCTTCTTCTTCTGCTTTTTTTAAATTAATGCCAGTCCTGGGGCTTGAACTCAGGGCCTAGGTGCTGTCCCTGATGGTTTTTTGGTTTGTTTCTGGGTTTTGTTGTTGGTTTCATTTCCCCTCAAAATTAGCACTCCACCACTTGAGCCACAGCTACACTTCATGCTTTCTGGTGCTTAATTAGAGATAAGAGTCTCATGGACTTTCCTACCTGGGCTGGCTTCAAACCATGGTCCTTAAGTCTCAGCCTCCTGAGTAGCTAGGATTACTTGTTTCCTGTTGTTATCTCCCCCACATAAAGAAAAAAATTCTCTTATTCCCCAACCCTCCATTTCCTATCTGTAGTTCTCTGCTTTGAAAGAACTACAGTCTTCTCCACCTGCATTCTCCGGCCAACAGAGGGATCCTTAGATCCCTCCTCTTAATCCCCTCTGTTGGTCCTATTTCTACTCCAGCAACTCCTGTTAAGCAATCCGCATGCCTCCATGTTGCACATCTCCCGTGGCTAACAGAATGACTCACCCCTCCTCATTTCTCCATTTAGCTTCTTTAACCTTGGCAGCTCTTTCATTTCACTCATGCTTGAAGTTTCTCCGGATGAAACCCATTGACGGGTTCCTGCTGTTTGAGTTCCATCATGGTCATCTCATCCCATCGCAGAGAGAATTCCAGGTTGATGGATCCAACTCTACTCAACAACTTTACTTGAGTAGCGACTCCAAATTCAGTGAGCCAGTAACTGGATATCTGACCTTCCCCTACTGAGAGGTGTGGTGTCCTCTATTGTCATTCTCCCAGTTGGGACCCAATACCATTGTCATCCTCCAGATTTCCCAAGCCAAAAAGCTTGGAAGTCAGCCTTGGCATGTGGCCCTTATTATATGTCCCATGTCCAATCCATAAGCAAGTCCTGTTCTCTAAACCCTCAAAATAACTCTGTTTAGATTACTTCTTACCTGGTCCATAGCTTCTACTCCAATCCAAACTGTAACACTGAAATAGCTTCCATCATCTGTCACCTTTATGACTGTAGTAACTTCTTAACGGATCTTCCTAATCTCCCTGCTTTTACCTTTCTGTAGTCTACCCTAACTCCATCATGAAAATGCATCTCTAGAACAGAAGTCAGATCATGTAATTCTTTACTTTCGCTCATTCCAACTCATATTGTTCATTGAAAATGAGTCTCACAAATTGGTCTGCATGATCCTCAGATCTCAACCTCCTGGGTAGCTAGGATTACAGGCATGAGGAACTGGCACCCAGCTAGAAATACTCTTGAAAAATCAGTTGTTCCAACTCCCATATATTGCAAATGATTAGAAGAAACTAGATTCAGTCATTTATCCCAGTTGTATGGCAGACCTGAGACAGGAACCACTGCTTTCTGAATCTAAAGCCAGTACCCTGCCCAAGGGAATATTCTGACCCTTCCTCACAACGTTGTCTCCACTGCCACTGAAACTTTCTTCTTGGGAAAATCTTGGCTTCCAAATTGCCCCTAAGTTGCTGCCAACAGTTGTAGAAGGCCCACTTCTGATACTCCAGGATATGTGGCCTTTCCTTGGGTGACCAAAATTGTTTTAGCATGTTTAGGTGACAAGAACTTTATTTCTATGCCTGTATCAAGTATGGTCCCATGTTGAAGGCTAGTGACAGTATGAGAGGCTTAGCATATAAATTGCATGCAAACCTGAAAAGCCAGGCTGATGATCTAGAGGCAGAATTGTGCTCAGGCTGCTTTATAAATTGAGAAGTTTCAGAGTAAAACCTTGGTTCCTATTTTCTACTGTTTGCAACAAAATCAAATGAAAATGTAAGTGTAAAAAGCCCTCAATTTCAACTTCTAACCCTCCACTCAATGGCTACACATTTAAGAGATCTAGTCTTTACCATCTATTGGTGGCATAGCTCAAAATATGTGTTATTCCCCTTCTAAAATGACTATTTTTATCCTCAGAATTGGTTGCTGGAGTTCCCAGAGGAGCACAGAATTTTGGATATGTAAGTACTGAGAGACAGCACTAGAATGTTTTCTTGCTGGTACAAAGAAATGTTTTCTCCCATACCATTTTAAGGGCTTTTTAATTTTCCTTTAATCATGAATTTCCCCCACTTACTGGGGGATTCCCTTACAATGCAGGAAGGAAAGTAAACCAGGTGAGATTTGCCCAGATCCATGTACTCCATTAGCTAGCTGCATGGATTGTAGGGCCTAGTTTAAAGTTAAAATGTGGGGTGTATAATTATTAAATTAGTATTAAAATTTATTAAAAATTATTAAGACAGTAACAATGGAGAATAAAATCATTAGGCTCTATCTAAGTTAGGGCTCTGAGTGACTACATTGATCTCCTACCCTAGAGCTGGTCTATACCACAGCTGATCTACATGTAAAAGGTAGGATTATTGTAGAGGCTGCCATTGTTATCATCATTGACACTTTACTATGTCTGGTATGGTAGAAATAATAACATCAGTGTTATTTTGCTAATGTCTTGGTTTGCTAAGACCACCATAATAATTTTCAACAAACACTGTGCCTTATTGCAATGTAGGTGTATTCTCTCCTAGTTCCCAGAGGCCACTAATATGAAGTAAAGGTTAAGAGTATGTGCATGCCCCCTCCAAAGCATCTAGATGCAGTTCCTTGTTGCCTCTTCCAGCTTCTGGTGACTCTTTTCTTGGCTTGTGGCAACATCATTCCAACCTCTGACATCTTCACCTTATCATCTCTGTATCTATATGTAGCCTCTCCTCTTTTTATCCGAATATAAGTCATAGGACTTGGGGCCTGCTTAAGATGATCATATCTCAAGATCCTTAGCTAATTTCATCTACAAAGATACTATATCCTAATACAATCTTATTCTGTGTTTCCACATAAACATAGAATTTGTGCTGGACACTCTTTAAACCCATTACAACTAGTTGCCATAAAGTTACCAAAATGATCGTCTTTTTAATATATATAATATTTATATGTAATATGATATCTATAATTATAATATTCAAATATTTCTAAAAAAATCTTGCTATATGGTTAGTACCTTAAACTTCTATACTTATTGAAAAGAATTCTAAATGCCAATTTTATAAGCACCAAAGCAGTTTTAGACAAAAAAAAACCTTAACTAAGTTAACCAATAATCAAGGCAGTTGCTCTCAATGTGATTGAATTCAACTATTACTTCCCTACAAAATATATGCACTGAAAGTTATGTCTAAAAATATCCTAGACACTCATAAACAGAAAGTTTAATTTTGGTTTAGATCATTTTCTTGGGCTTGCTTATGTTTTATATCTGACTGATCATTTATTACTCTTCACAAAAAATGTTAAATGATTTAAGTTGCAATTTTTTTTAAAAAAACCACCCATTGTATATCTAACTATATGCCTATCTAATTTCTGTAATTTCAGGTCTCAATCATTAACTCAACAGATATGACCTTTATTCAGAATTTTACTGGTGAACAGGTAAAGATATTTTCATATAAAATGATAAATGTCACTCTGTTCTAATAGTGTATTTTAATGAACATGGCATTTATTCATTCACTCAGATGTTTAATAAGAAGCTACTCTGTGGTATAAATTGTTGTATGGAAAGTGAAAACAAAACAGAGCCTCGGGCAGTATCCCAGCTCTCAAGCAGTTGTAAATGAAGTGGGGCAGTTCTCAAGATAATTTCAGACAGTGATCAGTGATGTAAAGAAAAAACATTTTAACTATATAACATTGTTGTGTGGGTGTTAAAGGGAGTAGATGGCAAAGCTTTTACCTGGTATGGTCACAGCATCTCTAATGCAAAGCCATTAAAAGCCCCTAGGAAGATTCAACCAGAAGCAACTTGACATGTCTGATTAGCACAACGCAGGCCACAGTAGCTATAAGCAAGCCAACGAGCAAGAAGTAGATGCTAAGAATAAAAGATGCAGGCATCTTCCAGGAGCCTTCATCAGTAACTCCCTAGTTTCAAGAGGTTTTTGGTTTTGTTTTGTTGTTTTAGCTGCATTCAGTCAGAAGTGTACACTTTGATCTTAGCAGCCTGTATCCAGCTTCTGTCTTTCAAGGAGATAGGCCTGCTAAGGAAACCCCTTCCTCCAGGTTGCCAAGGGAGAATTCCATTTTCTTGTTTGTAAAAATTTCTTGGTCACTCTATGCTGCACTTAAAAATGAGAGTTAATGAGGTCATGGGTAGAACAGACCGAGGTCTTGATAAAGTGACTACATAATTGCTCATGATAAGTGGCAGCCTTGGGAAAAGTAGCATTGCATGGTGGGAAATAGCTGGGATGATGATTAGTTTCTGTAATGCCATCTAGAGAGTAACATGGAGGACACATGCTTCTGCTGGCAGAGTAGTGTGTGTGTGTGTGTGTGTGTGTGTGTGTGTGTGTGTGTGTGTAAGCATATGTGCAAGCATATGCACACACATTGCATTGAAGGGAATAAATCACACCCATCGCTAAGAACCCAGGAAATTGGAGGAAAAGACGGAAACATCAGGAAACACACACGGCGCTTCCTAGCTTCTCCATGTGTGCTAAGAAGGAAAGAATCTGAAAGAGCAGGTTAGATTGCAGTTGTATGCAGAATTTGCATAATCTTTCTCATTGCTAGCACTGAGTAGGACTTCACAGCACACATTATGTTCCTCAAAAGCAAAAGGCTGGGATGGGAGACAAGACTTGTCCTATGGTAGGTGTTTCTCAGTGCCTGGTGGTCAGTTCTTGGTACTTCCTTTCTGTAAGATAACCCTGGCTTCTTCCAGGACTCATGCAACTGGCCAGAGTGGGCCTGGCTTCTGTGTCCCTTCTTCAATGTAACTAAATCCCTCCCATGAGCCTCAGTTTTACAGGGGATTCCTACACACCATTGTCCTGGTCTCTTCCTCCCAGAGAATAGACGTTCCTTCTTAGCCACTGTCATGCGCTGAGGTCCAGAAAAACAGGATCTTACTGCTCCTGTGCAGAAATATGATGCATCTAAGGTCGCTGTTTGTCTGGGTATTTTGACCTGCTGAGATTTGCTACACTTCTTTAATCACGGAACATGGTCTTACCATCTAAGGGAGTCATGTCAACACGATTAATTGAGTTTTTTAAATGAATGCTTTGGGGGATTCAGACTACCTGTTATCATGAGATTTTTAACAGATGTTTTATGTCTTTTATGATACTCTCATGGATGGTATGGAGAAATGAGATGATTGAAGATGGAGAGTTTGTAAATTTTGAACAATACCCTTTAGAGGGTGGTCTAACCAGTACATGCAGTATGCGTACATGACAATATAACAGTTCCACTAATGTGTGCAGTTAATATGCTTATGTGATAAAAGAAATCAATAAAAGAAAAATAATGTAGCAAGATTGCTATGGCCAGATCTCTTTCTTGTATCTTTTTATCATTGGAATTATTTTCAACAATATTACATTGAATGCTCCTATAACTTCTTGTCTTCATTACTACCTAGCCTTAGAACTTAATGTGTAGATGGCAAAATTTCCCAGGGTGAAAGCCACACAGTACCATCATGGAGTAAGAATTTCACCATCTGTGTTTGCAACAAAGAAAAGAGATGAAAGAAGGGATCGCTTGCACAGCAGGTCCCACTCTAGTGTTTACTCACTCAGCAAAGAGGGTTTGGCACCTGGCATCTACATTAATACGATGCTCTGATATTGCAGAGAGAAGAACAAAATGTACTAAAATCTCCCTCCATGGAGTACACTTTCTTGAGGACTGTATGTTCATTAAATGATTTTTAAGCAGAATTGATAAGTCAAATCTGAAAATATTAAAAATGCTGAAAATACATATTCAAAACAAAAAATTTCAGAGACAAAAATGTAAGGTGACTATGCTATATTGCTTATAGAAAAGATTTGTGAGGTTTCATTAACTGTGAGCTCAACAAGTCTCCCAAAGTTAAAAATGTTTTTAAAGTTTCAACAAGGTAGAACCCAAAGTAGGGGATAAATGTAAATCCTGCGTCTCATGATATCTCTGAGGATAGGGATCTGTATGGTGAACCATCTACAAATGTTTTCCCAGGAGACCTCATATGCAGTTGAAATCTGGTGTATTCTATGGATTCAAGATGGCAGAATTAGATGGGTCTAAATACAAGAAGTTATGGGAGGTTCACATGTAGCAAAGAACATTCAAACAGTAACATCCACAGATTGAATGGGCTGATTGTTGAGAATAGCCAAAAAATATCCAAGCAGATGTCAGGGTTATTAGGGGAAAAATTATTCATTGAGTCAGGGGTTAGACTAAATGATTCAAAGACCCAGACCATGTTCAAGAGTTTATGAATTTAAATGCAAAAATGTAGCCACAATCAGATTCATCTCTCCAGAATGTTTAAGAGTGACTATAAAAATGACTTCTAGACAAAATATATTACCCTATGGTTTTCTTTTGCAGATGGCATCTTATTTTGGATATACTGTTGTGGTATCTGACGTTAACAATGATGGGTAAGTTTATAAGAACATCTGCACACTTAATGTACATTATGTTCATCCACAAAGATGTTATATTTCTTTTTCACAAAGTACATCCTTCCATACTTCCTCAACAAGATAGAAGCCCTCTTGTTTCAACTTTTTTTTTGGTTTAGAACAAGAGGATACATCTAATAAAAAATTCTGTCATCCTATTTTATGTCTTCACTGAGATTTTCCACATCTGCCACTTTCAAAAGAGGACTATTTTATTTAGTTTTTTAAATTTAACACCATGAAATGAATCATCGTTAGCCAGTTGAGATCCATCACCATTGAGGCCTTGCTTCATTAATCTTTCTCTGCTTCTAGAAGTTTCCCCTAACATATGATATAGTCATAAAACATTTGCATATAAATCATAAGGAGATTTCTTTTCCTTCTAACATTGCTTTAACCAACATCTGAGTAAAATCCATGCAGAGGGATGGAATAATAATGTTATTTTTCAGTTTACACTAGTAAATTACAGTTGAACTTGGACCAAACAACACAGCTGAAATGTGGTTTTACATAAGTCATGAATTCAAAAATTGTTATTAAACATTCTTTTGTTTCACTCAATGTGCCTGATAAATGAACAAATCATTAAATAATACAATCTCAGCCATGAATGGTGGTACATGCCTGCAATCCCAGCACCTGGGAAGCTGAGGCTGGATGATCACAATTTAAAGGCCAATCTAATACAAGCCACACTGAGACCTTGTCCAAAAACAAGGAAGGAAAGGAGGATGGATGAAGGGAAGGATGGAAAAAGTCTTAAATTTGAGATTTACTGATTATCCATATGACCAATACTACTAGAACCCCCACCATATGAAGGCATTGTTCTTGGTGCTCTACACACTACAATGGTGAGTGACCCCACATCTATTCTCGTTGAGCTCATATTTCTATAGAAAGCAAGTATCTGAATAATTCTTAATTTGTTCCAGGATGCACCAAGCATTTCAGATAGGTGGTAGACAGACCTTCCTGTCCACCACATAAGCTACATACTTTGATTGATAATGAGGCATGAATATAGACATTGATTGTCAAAAATGTACTGCCCCAGTGAGTTTTCTGAAAAGGGTAGATTAACATGAGAACAACTGTACTTCCTACTCACATTAGCTTTGCATATAAAACTGCTCTTTAAACTGAAATCTGAGTTGGGCTGGGAAGGTGGCTCAGTGGTAGAGCGCTTGCCTTGCATGCCTGAGGCCCTGGGTTCGATTCCTCAGCACCACATAAGCAAAAAAGCCGGAAGTGGTGCTGTGACTCAAGTGGTAGAGCGCTAGCCTGAACTGAAGAGCTGAGGGACAGCGCCCAGACCCAGAGTTCAGGCCCCACAACTGGACCCCTCAAAACAAACAAAACAAATTGAAATCTGAGTTAAAAGTGAAAACGAAAAGCAGAAGGCAAAGAGTGAGAATGGTAAGGGATGCATTTTAAATTGACTACATGGCAAAGGGCAGCCTCAATGATAGGATTCCAGAAGAGAAGAGACCTAAAGGAGAGGATGGAAGAAGCCAGGAGTTTCCATGGGAGAGGAATGTCTTGGTCATATAGCAAAATAGGCAAATTCTTGGAGGTGGAAGCTTCTGGAATGTTCTAGAAAACTACAAGGGGGTATGAAGAGGAATGTATGGCTATTCTAGGAAGGTATAGAACTCGTGGCATTGACTCCAAATGGCTATACAAGTGGGCTAGGTGGAGTCTTTCCAGGAAGATACAACACTTTGTGAGCAGTGGAAGATTCCAAGGGAAGAAATGGCCTGTTGAAGCATTGGTTTCCCCAGATGGATCTATCACATCAGCAGCTTGGATCAGTGAAGAAGCAGTGGAGGAAGCAAACATAGCTGCACTCGGGTATATTTCACACATCTGCTTGAGCATGAATCACATCCTGCAAGCAGTTAACTTAAAATTAAATTGCCTTAACCACCAATCATCTGAGTTGTGAAAAGAAAGTCACCATAAGGGCCAACCAGTCAAGATGACCAACTTGGATCATCTGTAATTGCTATCAATGCCGCGCAGTAATTTAGGACTCGAAGTCAAAACATAGCATGACATTCAGATTTAACGAGCATATCCTATAGTAACAATAAAAACCCTATAGAGTTCAAGTCCTATGACCAACCACAGCAGCAAAAAAAAAATCCTTACCGATGTGTATAGACGTTTGTGTCTTAGACAACCATCTATACACACAGGCCCTCTCTCTTGAGTGCCTGGCAGGATCTCAGGGGGCCAGCTTTGGTCCACATGGTCCCATCCGGGAGCCAAGCCCACTGACAATCCTTGCAAGTTTTTCCAGCTTTCATAACATGCCCTCAAGGCCACTTTCTACTTCCCAGAAGGATCCTCAATTTAGACAGAAGCAAGGTTTCATGACAATATTTATAGGACATAGTCTTGCCATGTAAAGGGGGAGAAAGGCTTTGCTGTTTTTGCTTTGTTTTGTTTTGTTTTTAGAAAAAGATTTCATTGGTTTTCTGCTGATCAAAACAACATGGTAATAACACACACAGGAATTTTTAAGAGATAAATTTATTCTTTCATAATGATCCTAAAACTCATTCTCTATACTTTTTTCTCATTAGGCCCTGTACTGTCTTCTTAATTCTTCAGACTGTATTTAAGAAGTAGGTTCTTTCGCTTAATAGCACTATTCCCAAAGGTAGAGTGCTTATAGTTCAGTTTGATGTCTTTAATTGTTTAGATACAATGTAATTCAAGATTCTATTCTAAAATGAATATATTCTGGAAGTCATTCAAATTGACTACAGAAATGATTGTAAAGGCAGCAGATAAATAGATACAGACGGGCTAAAAGAATCACTTGGCTGGGTGGTTGGTCATGAAGAGCTCTGATTTGCCTGGTTGCTCACACCTATAATCATAATCATTCAGGAAGTTGATGTAGGAAAATCACAATAAGAGACATTTTGGGGGTAGTTAACCCTATTGGAAAAATAAATTCAAGCAAAATTAAAAAAAAAAAAAGAAGAAGAAGGATGGGAATGTCGATCTGCTGGTAAAGCATTTGCCAAATAAGCTTGAGGCCCTGAATTCAAACCCCTGCATGGAGAGGAAGGACGAAGAGGAAGAGGAGAAAGAGGGAAGGAGGAGGGGGTGGGGGAAAAGGGAAGATGGGAAAGGGAAGAAAAGAAGACTTATCCCCCCCATACACATGCATGCATACACACTTATGAGACCACCAAAGCAGACTTTCCCTTTGCTAACCAAGCAGGGGGAAAAGGAGAGAAAAGAAAGTATCATCAAGAAGTGACCAAATTCATAAACTGATAGGAAATCCACCCCCCCCCCGTGTGTGTGTGTGTGTGTGTGTGTGTGTGTGCACTCGCGTGTGCGCCCGCACATATGCACGTGCACGCATGTGTGTATTTTAAGAGTCGATCTCAGTGGGTTGGGTGGGTTGGGGGAGAATGTAGAAAGGGGTGACATTGATCAAGATGCATTGTGTTCATAAACTGCTTTGTACAACAGCAACTAATAATAATAATAACAAAAGACTAGAACTCACTGTCCCAAACCTCTTGTTTCAGCCTCCAGTGTGCTAAGCTGTGGGCTACCACACTTCAACATTAAAAATAAAATAGTTAGTTGTGGGGATTGTACTCTCAGCCCGAATTCTGTCCCTCAGCTCTTCAGCTCAAGGCTAGTGCTCTACCACTTGAGCCACAGCACTACTTCTGGTTTTCTGGTGGTTTATTGGAGATAAGAGTTTCACGGTTTTTCCTGTCCAGGCTGGCTTTGAATCACGATCCTAAGATCTTAACCTCCTCAGTAGCTAGGATTATAGGCGTGAGCCACCAGTGCCCGGCTCTAAATATATAAATATATATATATATATATATATATATATACACATATATACATATATACATATATATACATATTTTATTATCTTTCAGTCATTGTACAAAGGAGTTGCTATTCAATGAAGCAGTATATGAATGCAATGTGTCCTGATCAATGTCATCCTTTTCAATATTATTAAGAAGAAAAGCTCCCACTATTATAAACTTACAGATTTAGACCAAACAGGTATGTCCACACTAGGTGGCTGATGATATTGACAACCCATGATGATTTTGAAAAGTACCGATAAGCAAATTGGCAAAAGTAAGTTCTGTTTAATTATCTTAAGGTAGCCAGTGGTACAAACTCTGTGTATATAAACTGTGTGAGGAATTTCTTCACAAGCTTGTTACCAAATGCAGGCATTAGCATACAAAATGTACTGCTGTGGGAAAAAAAAGAGCCAAAGTTGACATCAACCTCTAAAACCACTTGGGTAGAGACAACATGAAGTCAGACTCCTCATGTTCAGTATTCCCAATGGTAGATCCTGTACATTCTATTACTACATCTATGCTTTGCTTCTGAAGGAAATGCATGTAATGTTCTGTGTCAAATGCCATGTAAAGGATGCACTCAGCTATTGAGCCTTGCATTGTGCTAGATTTTCAGAGTGGATTTAGACATAGAAAGGAGATAAGCCAGGCACCTCTGTAATCCTAACTAATTGGGAGGCTAACATCTGAGGATCATGGTTCAAAGCCAGCTCAGGCAGGAAAGTCATGAGACTGTTATCGCCAATTAACCACCCAAAACCAGAGATGGAGCTGTGGCTGTAGTAGTAGAGCACTAGCTTTCAGTACCAAAGGTCAGGGACAGCACCCAGGCCCTGAGTTCAAGCCCCAGAACCAGCACCAAAAAGAAAAGAAAGAGAGAGAAAGAAAGAGAGAGAGGAGAAAGAATTCTGCACAGAGGTTTAATGAAATCTGTTCTTAACCATTTGCTATTTCAAATAAAATGACATTAATGTGGACATACTTTTATGCAATACCACCACCAACAGAGCCCAAGTAAAGAAAGTGAATTTTAGTGAAACCACATTACTATTATTTCTCCATCATTGTTACTTTTGTTAAAATTTTAGATTAAAATATATT